ATTACATATTTTTATACTTTTTTGCATCTTTTCTTGTTAAAAGAAATATAAACTTGCATAATGTAAACTTTATTTCTTTATATAAAAAAGTTGATAGCTATTATATATCTCTTTGTCTCTTCTATAAATGTTATATTTTTTTTCAGATTTTTCTAATTAAAAGACTGATATCCACTTCAAATAATATATCCTTATTAGTATTATAGAAATGTTAATAGGTATATTGATCTTCAAAAATCCATTTTACATTAATTTTGGTTAGCTTTGTTTTATATAACTCTGTTATATCTATCTCTTGTTCTTGGATTTTTTTAACAAGACTATATTGTTTTGATTTTTCAAATATATCTCTGACATTATGTGTTCTTATTCTTATTACTGTCTTTTCTGTATTATTATCTTGCTTTTTTTCTATAAACTGCTCTGTTTTTTCATTATTATTTAAAAATTTAATTTTCTTTGTTAATAAAAATATATCAATATTTTGATTGCTTTGTAAATAGATATTGAAACCTTGATTATTCTGTTTTTTTTTTATTATTTTTTGTTTTTGTTTGTTATATTTTACTTTTTTCTTTATATTGGCTTTGGAAATAGTGAACTAATATTTCTTCTTTTTTTTTTTTTATAATTGAATTGATATACCTTTCAAAAATAATTTATCCACCTTTTTAATAAATTTTTTTCTAGCTTGTCTAGTCTTTTATCAAGCTTTTCTATTATCTTGCTTAACTATAATACTTCAGACTTTTGTGAAATAATTAATCCTTAGCTTCTGGTTTCAAATTTAGTTCTTTATCTATATAGTTACCTTTTATCTGAAGGTTTATTATTAGTTTCAGATTGATCTTATATAGTTTGACCTGATATCTAGTTTCTTTTTTTATCTATAAGTTCCCTATTACTATCAATAGCTAGAAGAACAAATCTTACTATTTGTTTATTGGTTCTTAATTGGCAACTATTATATTATATTCATAATATCCTTTTTTTGTTTATCTTCAAATGAGTTTTACTTTATTCATCTTGATTTTTATATTTATATTTGTTATTCTATTAAACTGATTCAACTGGATTTTTTGAACTATTAAATCACTAATACTCTATTGCTATAATAATTTTTTGTACTTTATTCTAGTCTTTGAATATTAATTTTAATCTGATATTGGAGTAATAATCTCAAATATTTTTTATTTTCAAAATAGACTATTATATAGTTTTTTAAAATCAAGTTGATCTTGTTCTTTAATATATAAGAGACTTTAGTCTTCACATAACTCAGTACTTTATTTAATAATTCAATAGATATTTTATTAATTCTATAAAGTCTTAAAAAGTACCATTTGTTTTTTTCAATATTTGTGTGACTTCTTTATTATCTAGTTCTTTATGGACTATTATAAATTCCACTCGATTAGACCTTATCTTAATTACTTAACTTTGATTAAATAAATATGTTCTCAATATACATAGAAATAAATTTAAATCTTTTCTAGTGAAATTATATTTAGTATTTATGAACATTGACTATTTTTTCATATTTTTTATTGTTTATTTGATTAGAAGTTTGATATATTTGTGATCTATATCTACTAAAATAATATATTTTAATTTATTTTTAACTAAAGAAAAGTTTTTGACTTGAAAAATTTTTTGTTTTGAGTATATTTCTGGAAGGCTAATTACATACTCTTGTCTTTAACTATCTTTTTAATTGTGAAGTTTCCTTCTTCTTTTTTATTGATAGATTCTAAAAACCTTGCTATATTCTCTTCTTTATAAAAGTCAAAAGTCATTTAGTGATTATTATTAATAAATTCAGTTTTAAAAGAATTTATTCTCTTAGATATTTTTAAAGCTTCTTTAAGATACTTGATTCTTTCTTTATTGTTTTTTTCTGATAACATTGTTTGGAGCACTCCTATTTTGATTAAACCTTATTATTTGATGAAAAATAGATTTATTATAAAACTTTGAGTTCTATTTCTTGTATTGTAAAAAATATTGTCAGTAATACAATTTCCTTATTCTATTTTTTTTAACCTTTTTGTTTCAGTTTCAACTTGTTCTACTATTTTCTTATCTGTTATTATTACTTTTTTAATAGAGGTGTCTTTTTCATATTTTATAAATAATAGTTGAATATCCATTGAAATATTTTCTATTATTATAACTTCTTTTTGAATAGAGCTTGGTAAATGATTTGTTAATTTATTTGTCAGTACATTATATATCTTTTCTTCTAGCATAAATATTTTAAGGTCTTTTTTTTTGTCTTGTCTTTTCTTCCAGAAAGTAAGAATATATTGTTGTAACATGTATTCCTTTGCTAGAATTTTGAAATTTATTCTTAATATATTGATAATAATGTTGTTTAATATTGAGAGTGAATGAATTGCTTTTATAGAAATATGTGATTGAATAGTTTTTATTAGTCTTAACTAGTATTAAATTATTTTTGTTTTCTATAGTTTCTATTGAGAGTTTTGATTAAAGCTATTTTTTCTAAAATCTTTAATAAATAATTTTTTTGACACTCTAAAATTTAAATTATCTTTTATTCTTTAATTGCTATAATATTATTGATACAAATTAATTAACATATTATTTTGTATAAAATAGAATGTGTATTGTTTACTTGTTTATTTGTTCTACTGTTTATGTCTAGACATATCAATATCAACAAGTTTGTTTATTTTCTTTCATAGGTTATTATTATTATGAGCTACTATTGTATTATTAATCAGATATATAAACAAATGTTTTTGAATTTAGTTTTTTGTTTTCTTCAAGTTTTTTGAGTGAAAGAAATATGTATATATTTATATGACATAATGTGTTTATATATTATTATTAATGTCTAATGTTTCTTTAACTATTACTCGAGGTTTTTAATATTCTCTTGAGTTTTGCAAATTTTAGTTGTGACTGGTTTACTAGTTATAACTATTGTTAACAAGGTTTTTTTTAATATCTAAAAAGGTATTTACTTTACAATAACCTGATTAGAAGCTTAAAGAGTTTATGTTGAGTTTTATGATCTCACTATTGAATTAGATTTTCTATATCTTTTTCTTTTTTCTCAAAAGTTTTGTAAATAAAATATAGGACTTATAGTGAAGAATAGTTCTTTCCTTTTAAATTAATCTTGGAAAGTACTTTCTATTCTATCTTTTTGAAGTTTGCTATATCTTTGCTATTTGACTAAAAGTGTTTTGTAAAATTTTCAAGAAAATTATTAAAAAAAAAAAACTTTTTTAAAAAAAAATAGATCAGTAATAAATTTAAATTAATTAAAAATATATATATAGTATATATATATATATATATAGATCATTATTTTTTAAATAAATAAAAAAAATACTTTTTGTTGATTCTCTATCTATATATAAAAATATTTATAAGAAATTTTATTTTTTTACTAATAAAGTCTTAACACTATCTCTAAATTAACTTGAAGTTTTACTTTAAGAGATACTTTCAAATCCCTTTTCTTGTTTATATTTATTTTCAAATAAAAACTTGGCTTCCTATAATCTAGCAATATTAAGAAACATTTTTTCTATCTATGATAACAAAGTTCTGTAAAAATAAAGAACTAATAATGTAATACTCAAAACCTTTAATATTGAAGCATATTTATAGAGGTTTTGTATAATAAAAGATAATAAATATCAAGTCACATTTTTAAAGTATTTGTTTATTGTTTCTTTTTTTTTATATTTATTCAAATTTTTTAGTTTTCTAAGAAATTTTATTTATTTCTGTTTGACACTAAATTTAAAGTAATACAATCTATTATAAAATATACTGTAATTTATAAATATGAAATATGTTAGTAGTTAAATATAAACAAGTATCTATTGATCACTTTATATGTCCTGATAATATTATTAATGATAAAAAGAGTTGATTAATATTTCATTTCTGTCTTGTTCTTTCAATTGGATTAATCTATAGATCTAATTCTATAAGGTCAATAAGATATAAGTAACAAGTTCTCAAGTGATGAGAAAGCTATTATTTGTTTAAGTTGAGATCGTTTTCTCTTATTATTTCAGTTAAACAATGTTCAAAATCAAGATATATTTCTTATTTTGGTTAGACAATAAGATTGAATGGTTTCTAGTTTATTATATAATCTAATCTTTTAGTTATAACTGAAAATAAAATTTTCAGGAATTATTAAAAATATCATAATTAATAAGAATTTCTTTTGTTATTTATTTTTCATCATTATAAAGTAAAGAAAAGATTGAATAATTTAATTTTTTGGAATAATAAAAGATATTTAATAGTAAAATTTCCTTAATTAAACATAGCTACTAGGAGATATTATATTGAAATAATATGGCTCAGTATTTACTGAACCATATAAGAATTTAGAATCTATTATAAGTTATCTATTAATTATAGATAAATAAAAAATTGTTATTTAAAGAAAGTTTAATCCAATCATATTATTGAAAGTAAAGATTCTCATTAGGCAATAAGTTTTTTCAAATGATATACAAGAAGAAAATCAAGAATAGATAAATTTATCAGATAGTAAAGAAAAAAAAATATATCTATCAGGTATTTTTTTATTGAAAAAAAGTTTTGAGAAACAAATTTTTGAAAAAAGTTGAAGAATTTTATTTTATATTTTTTTAATTTTCTTATAAGTTTATTTGAATATTTTTAAATATTCCTTTTTTTATTTTTTTCAATATATTTTTTTATAGTTTCTTGTATTTCAATGACTTGATAAGATATTTAACAATGATAACCTGTTAATTATAAAGTGATGGACTAAGAGGGTAAAAAAAAATTTTATTTTTAATTCAATCAAGCTAAAACACTCTAATGATTATACAAACAATCAGCTTTTTTGAAATAAACTACACATTTTATGGGAAATAAAATCAAATAATCGAATAGTATCATGAAAGCTTGAAATAAAGATAAAAGTAATGAATACAACAAAACAAGTGCAATTAATGTGAAATTGAATTCAAAACCTGTTGGCCCAAAAAGGTCAACTCTTTTAAATGCTCCCGAGAGCTATCCTGAGAAAACAACTTATTTTGATCCAGATAATAAGCCGTAGCCATATCTATGAAGCTAAAAACCATCTCCTTTTCAAGTAAATCAGAAGAGGGTGATATTCCAGATATGATAAGAAGGCATAACAGCAAAACATTTGCTAAAAGTATTGACTGATTTTCTTGTGAAGAAGGGTAACCTTCTGATCTTAACTTTTGAGCTAATATAACAATATAAAACCAAGTTATATACTCATATTTGAAGTTATAACTACAAATAAACTTCAGTATTTTCTTACCTAGGACCCTCAATATTTGGTGTCCGATATTGATAACTGATATGAGTTCTTTTTCATTCCGCGTAACCAATTCTTCTTTATCCGAGACTACAATATTTATTAACACTTGAAATGGACCTAATAAATTATCGACCATCACATTTGTTATATAGCCCTTGACTTTAGTATGTCCCCAAAATTCAACTATATAGTCAATCATCAAAAGGTGTCCCCCATGGAAGTAAAAAGTTGAGCGCGGTTGATCCTGTGATGAGAGATTCAAGAAAGCTGGTGTCAGCATCTTGATGAGGTTCACCTCCGAACGAGCTTCAAAACTAGTTGATAAACATAATCTAATATCAATATAAACTTTATTGAGGAAATTATTCTCGACGACCATACGTACCTACGGCGGCACATATCAATCAAAAAAGGGATCACTGCAACGGCCTCTTTTTCAAGAGATCCTTCTTCAGCAAGCCAGACAGAAAGGACACGAATACTCGCCATCAACATTTTATCCTCCAAAATCGATTCGATTGAGCTCATAACATCCTATGCATAAACATAAATATGAGAGGACGATTCAGGATTACTAACAAGCTTAAAAGAAACCCGTACTTTGACATTCAACAAGTATTCCATAATAATTCTAAATGTTTCAATCATCGTGCTCCTCAAGCGTAATAATAATTCCGGATCCAACTTGAGTTTAGTAAGATCCGCGGAATCCTTTTTGTCATCAAAATCCAACAGGCGTTCAACTTGCGATAAATATTCTATCGATTTCTCCAAAATGGTGTAACATGCCGGTAACATAGTTTCGTGACGTTCAACGGAACTAAAATCTTTTTTCTCTAATTTATCGGAAACCTCATCTAACATTAATCGAATTTCAACGCATGCTAATTGTACTACTAGAGCAGCAAATTTAAAATCCTCAAGATTGTCGTCAGTAGAATAGTAGTCGTCCTTTAACGAGATATCTGACGTGAATAACCAGGTTGCTCCAAAGTGATCGAGAAGTAGCATGGCAAGAAAAAGTGCATTATCACGTTGTTCGTTTCCTAAGTTAAAATAAATAAATAAATGAATTAAAATAATAATGCATTAATCAAATTTATCGATGTAACGATGCCCACATGTCGAATATATACGGATACCTATTTTGCTTCTTAAAATATCCCGCAAACCATGTTTTACATTTTGCGTCCAAACGTTGGTTTGTGATTCATCATTAAGAAGCATATCTTGTGCAACCTAGTACACCGGTAAATAAACAAGTGTCATACCAATTCCCCTGCGAATTATTTTAACATCAATTCTTTTGGATAACACACTTGATCCGTCATGCATGTGAAGATTTGCACAAAAACTCCGAGAATATTGAATTTGAGCATCGTCTGATCCGTTCGTAAAATTTCTGACAATTCTCTGAACGTCGTAAATAGATATTCCCGAATGATTCTTGGATCAGAAAAATTGGAATCCATTAATACGTTGGCCGTGGTGTAATAAACTATTTGGAGGGCTGTTTTTTGTGTTTCTTCTGTAACATTATTAATTAGAGAATGAGTATATAGATAATTCTTAAAAAGAAATGATGGCATATTCAACAGACTCACCATTTGCGAAAGACTTTACGCGTTGCAATACTTTTGAAACGACTTTGCTGCTAATGGTATAAATTAAACCTTGTTTCGCCGAAGCCAATCTATGAAGGATTTTTAAAATATCCTGAGTCGATTCTTCGTCAATGCTGAAAAGAAAAGGTCGAATATAAATTAATGATTAATATTAAACCGCGTAAAGACCCGAGTTACTTACTTTGAAGATAATAGTGTTGAAAGAGTCGGAATACGAGCGTGGATTTGCTTTTTCACCAACAATTCTTCTACAGCGCAAAAACAAGATAGTATATGGATAGCTATAGATTTCAAAGTGTAATCTGGTTCGTTATCTTCCGTCAAAGCTTCTGCATACAAAATATGCAAAAATACATTAGCATCAAATTGATGAAAAAGCAGGCATACCTTTGCAAAAGTAAAAATACCGGTTCGCAATAGACGCTCTAAAAACTTGAAGTCCATTGCATCAAAAATAATCATGACGGTTCCTTTGTCTTGTTTTAAAAGTCGCGGCAGAAGCATAAGAGCGACGAATTTTGCATCGTCAGAAGAGGATGGACTTAGCAATTCGAGGCATCGTTTAATTTCATCTTGTTTACTTGATTCAGACATTTTTTTAGCGCAAGGATATAAGGTTACGTAAAATCAAATTTATAATGTATTTACATCACGTGCATATCATTACCTATTATATTTAAGCACGAATATAATGCGCCTCATCTACGGTATATACATATTTTAATAAAAAAAACTTGCATAATTATGTGTCAACATATCCAATTAACAATAGAAAGATTTTTTAAAAAAGATCATTATTTATGAAATAGTATTATAAAGATTTATAAATTTAAGAGTATATAAAAATAATTAAAATTATATAATATTATTATATTAATTAAACAATTAAAAATTATATAATATTATTATTGTATTAATTAAACAATTAAAAATTTTAAAAAATACTTATTATTTATCTTTTATTAAAAACATAAAAATATTTTAATAATTCAACAAAAATTAATAAAAATAAATATTTATATTAATTATAAAAAAACTTTTTTTAAAAAATAAAATTAATTAAAGATTGCTTCTTTTTTTTTTGTCACAATATAACACTTTAAATATATTATAATAAGTTTTTTTTTTTTTTTTTGAGAACTTTTTGCTATTGACATAAAAAATATTATTTAACTTTCTTAGTTATCAAAAGTCAAGTTTTTAAGTAAATAGATTTGTAAATAAAGAAGAAATAATAAAAATAAATTTTAAAGTTATACTTCAAGTTGTTTTAAAAAAAGGGTAAAAACTTTATTAGCAAAAAATAAAAAAATTCTTGTAAATATCTTTTATATATATAATTAAAAAATTGATGAAAAAATATTTTTTTAAATTATGATATATTTATTAATATTTAAAAATTTATATATTTATAATTTTTTATATTATCAAAAAAATAAATTAAAATATAATTTAAAAAAAACATTAACTAATAATAATTTTTAAAAAAATCTTATAAATTAAAATAAATTTTTCGATTTTAAAAAAATTTTTATAAAACAAAATAAAAAAAATTATTATTATTGTTAAAACTTATTAAATATAAAATTAAAGAAAAATAAATGAAACTAAATAAACCATAAACAAATTAAATTTAAAAAAATAATAAAACTCTATTGATTAACTTTACAAAAATAATTTAATCTATATTATATATTTTATATAATATTTAAAATTAATAATAATAAATACTATAATTTTATTATAAATTTTTAATACTTAAAAAAGAAAAATTAAAAATTTACTTGAAAATTACTTATTACTATATGAATATTCAAAAATTATTAAATATTTTTAAATATCTTGTTACCAATTTAAAATAATTAAAATATATAAAAAAAAATAAATAAATAAAATAAAACTATTTAATATATCAATAAAAAAATATAATAATATAGAATAAAGTTAATATAAAAATAATAAATTGAATTAAAAATCTATAACAACAAGATACGAGTTTTATAATATCATATTTATACATTTATATAAGAATAAGACTGAAATTTTTAAAAGATTCTATAAGATGCTATAAAATTCTACTAATAGTTACATATAAAGGCAAAAAAAAAAAAAAACTTTCAAAAAAAAAAAAAAAAAATCTGAAATAGATATATGGTAATAGTAGATTAAAAAAAATAGGGTATTGTAAAAAGAAAAAAAATTCAAGCTAGAATCAATGAAGATGAAAATTATGATACAAGTGAAAAAGCAATAGAGAATAATCTACAGTATAATACTAAAAAAAGTATATTAGAGATTATACGTAGATGGATAGGTATTAAATGGTTGGATTTTTAACCTGCTAATAAAACAATTGGTATTCAAAAAAGGTTACTGTCTATGCACAGTCATGTAGTTTCAGCAAAATAAACGACGTAGGTAGAGGAACAATTCGTATCACGTAATACATCGTCAAGGTTAATTATGTAAATATCGTACACGATCACAAGGCGCAAGCAACAAATTACCTTTAAATTGATCCTAGTTCAATGCGTTTCGTTTCCAAAATGACGGATCCAAAGTTGCTTGCAGATCTTTCCCGAAGCTTCTCCAACCTTTTCCAAGACCCACAACTTGCAGATGTTACCATCGAGGTTGGTGAACCGCCGGATAACAAAACATTCTTGGCGCATTCAGGCTTGCTATTTGCACGTTCGCCTCACTTTGCCTCAGCACTTAAGAATGAATGGATTAAACGCAAAAAAGGGAATGACATTAAAATTTCCAAGCCAAGTATTGCACCATACATTTTCGAGATAATTCTCAGGTAAGATTGACATTCAATGCCGCCAAGAAAACCATCTAACAATTGTTTCTAATCTTTAGATTTATGTACACCGGCATAATTTCTCTTGACGATCAGACCATCTCCACCATTCTTGGTATTTTAGTTGCGGCAGATGAATTCCTCCTGGAAGACCTTACCCAACACCTCCAAAGCTATTTGATTGAAAGCCGCAAGGAGTTAATCCAGAAAAATTTTGCAACAGTTACTCAATTCGTATTCAAGCATGGGAATTTCAAGAGACTTCAAGAGTACTGTACCGTACGTTCCGCTTCAAATCCTGCTGCCATTTTTCAAGCCGACGACTTTCCTTCCCTTGACGAGAATAGTTTGGCTGCTCTCATTGGTAGGGATGACCTCGAAATAGAAGAAATCGAAATCTGGAATAATGTCCTTAGATGGGGAATCGCTCAGATGGATTCGTTGCCTCCAGACCGTGCTCAATGGACCGATAGCGATTTCACTGCACTCGAAACTTTACTACGCCGATGCTTGTCAAAAATACAATTTTTCAATATTTCATCCATCGACTTTTACAATAAAGTCTTACCATATGTTAAATTATTGCCCGGTACTTTACATCAAGATCTTCTTCACCATTATCTTGTTCACAAAAGTCATGGTGAATCTATTTCTCGATCTTTGGATTCGGTTCTCTTGAACTATTCCGATATTCGTCAAATCGATTTCTGGATCAACGGGAATGATACGACTCTTACATCTCTTATTCCCATTACTCACAGGTTTAATCTCATCTTCCGCGGTTCTCGTGATGGTTTTACCGGAGACGATTTTCATCGACTATGTGACGACAAGGGACCTACACTGGTAGTCGTAAAGACTAACAAGGGGAATCAATTGATTGGTGGATATGCACCAAAGAGTTGGCATTCGCAGAACCGATGGGAAAATGGTGCGGGAAGCTTTATCTTTTCCTTAGGAGATCAGAATGGTCGTAATCCCATTCTAAGTCGATACAAATCCGGCCCAGGACTTGCGTGCTGGAAATCACATGGTCCAATCTTTGGTGAGTACAGAGATTTGGGCATATTCGATGTTCATATTCAGAAATCTAGCAATAATTACTGTAAAAAGCGGGATTACTTGGTTGCTATCATCCCAGGATCTGAGACAGAATACGTAGGGTTTGGTGTGAAGGAATGTGAAATCTTTCAAGTTATTGATAAATTGATCGATTAGGAAAACCGAACACCTTGTGCAAACTATCGATCACGTGACATTAAATACTAGTTTCAAGTGGCAAATAAAAAGACTAGTTTCTCCTATTTAAAAGAATTTCTTTTATTTCTTTAAAGATGCTAAAGAATAAAGACATATTTGCTACTAACCTTAGGTCGTTATAACAAACTATTATTATTAAAACGTTAAAATATATACATGCTCAATACTGAGTGAGTTCTATCTGACCCTTTTCCCACAGCATTTATTAATAGTAAAGTCGAGAAAATTAACAGCGCGTTCCAGGTGAACGACGGGCTAACTATAATTGCGACAATAATGCGTCGGATTAGTGTAGGCACGTACGTACAGCACCTTGACTAAACTAAAAAATCCATAAGTGGGAATGCATTAATTTCACGTGATAAACTTTGTAAAGCAACCGTAATATCTTGTGAAAAAAGTCCAATCGAGAACGGGTTAACATGATAATAATAATTTTGTACGGACCCTTTGCCAACTTTCCTATTAATGAAACAGATTTGGATTATTCGTTTTCTCAAGAATCACACTTCAGTCGTAAAGTGTTTAAAATCATGTTCTCATAACTTTCTTTTTCGATAAATTAATTAATTAAAAAAGACAAACAAATATTATCGAAAAAAAAAGGCCAATACGAACGGAGCGGTGTTTGGAATATTTATATTCACATGGAATTGGAGTTAAGAGAGATGAGAATGCAGCATTCAATCATAGGACTTGTTTCAAGTTGGCTATTGCTATGATGAATAAATGGACATAAGGCATTCAAAAACCAGCCGGCTATTGTTGTCAACATGGAATTCGAGACGTAAAAAAATAGTCCGAAATGGGTCGTGAGAGAATAACTTTTAGTGTCTGCATGTGCTATTTCCATCAGATTGGAACGGCATATGGCATTAAGTTCTCAAGGGCCTATATAACATTGGATATTACTTAATGGAGTTTTAGTTGGAGGCTCGGATTTAGACATTCAAATATTATCAAACCTTAATTAGATAAATGGGCGCATTATGATATTATCATCTGCTATCTCAATTCTTTCCGCTGATTCTCTGACCACACACAAAAAAGATATTTGCAAAAAGTTTTTATACTTCTAAGCTAATAAAGTCTTACCACTTTCCTTAAATCAACTTGAAGAAGCTTCAAGAGCCATCAACTACTTCCCTTCCTCTTGCTTACTATTCTTTTCAAACAAAAACTTGACCTCTAGTGATTATAAAGGTCAAGAAACATCTTTCCTACCAATGGCAAGAAAGTTCTGAAAGGAAGAAAAACTAATGTGCTATCATTTTACATTGTAGAGAAACACCACAGAAGTGTGTTAATGAAGAGAGATAATTTTTCCACTCTTTTATTATCTGTTAGTTTCTCATAGTACTTGTTCTTGATTTTTTCTGGAGAATTTTGTCTACCTCAGTTTGACCCTGAATTTTAAGCAGCACAAAGTTTCTCATATCATAATTAGACAAAAAGAGCTCACATTAGTAAAAGAAGTAAACAAGCTTTCATTGGTCATCTCACATATCTGAATACATTTCCTTAGCCCTATAAGAATCTAGATTTACCATAAGTTATTATACCTAGTATAGGTAAATAAGAATATTATCAACTTCTATATCTTTGATTAATCAAAAAAGAAAAAATATATACTTATTTCTTCTTTATCAAGAAAGAAGAAAAAAGACAAGGTTCAAAGGAATACAGAACAAAGATGATATCTTAAAAGTGTCATGCCTATTCTTTATTAGCATAAATATTGAAAGATTAAAGAGATCTTAGAATTATTTGCACTTAATCAATAATATTAATATGCAGTCGAATAATCCAAGTGATTAAAAAATATACTATAATGAGACATTAGACAATAGTTCAATCTCTATAAATAGTAATACTTAGAGAAAAACAGTATAATATTTATCAAGTTTAACAAGGTGCATGTTAAAAGTATCAAAATCCTTATTTCTAGGTTAAAGTTATTACAAGGATAAAAAAAAAACAAATTGTTAAATAATAGGCTCCCAACTATCCTAGTGTCCATTCACCTTCCCCTATATTCTAAAGCCCTCCAAAACCCTTGACTTATTATTACTCAAAAGAACATCAATAGAAAATTCTATACTAAATAGGGTATAGAAGAAAAAGATAAAGAATTAATAGACAAGGATCATAATATACTGGTACTGAAAGTAGCAAAGAAACAGATATTGTATCCTGAACTAATGAAGCTCTCAGAGAGTAACTAACTCATAGTATTAATATAATAATAGTAGAATATTTTCAAGTCACCCATAATTAAACCATTTTACTTCTTTCTTCTGATATCTTTTTTGTAATGCAAAATTTTCATTCCTGTTTAAATTTGTATAATCTTGGCTTTATTTTTCTTCTCTAAATAAAAATAGAAGAGTAGAATATCAAATACATTAGTAAAACAGACCAGATAGTCTGTGATAGATATAGATTCGAACACAATTCTCTTAATTTTCTCTTTGAGTAAAGATAGACAAATCAAATTTGATACATATACCAATCCCCTTAAAAATTTTTCATTACCCTAATGGCTCTTTTATTAGATCTCTATTTGAAGATAATTCAGCTATAAAATAATTTTTTGAATTTCTAGTCAAATGTATCTATATAGTAAAACTTTATTAATAAACTTGATCAAGTTAGCATTAAAAAAAAAAATTAATTGTTATCTCAATAAAAAAAGTTAAATAACTATTTCTAGAAAAATTTTTAAAAAATAATATAATTTATATTGTTTTTTTTTTAATCTCAATTAAGATAATATAATATATTTTATTGTATATACAGTATACTAGATATTTTATAAATTATTATGATTTTCACATATCGATTTTTTTGTTATAAAAAATTATTTTTCTAAATATAATATAAAAAATAATATTTTGTTTCTTTACTAATTTAAATTGATTATAAATTGATAAAATTATTATCTATAAATCATTACTATAGATTATTTTAAGTTTTATTTATAGTTTAAAAATCAAATCACTTAATAATAATAATATTATTATTTTTTGAGTACCCGTAGTCAGGCTAGATCATCAGTTTATTAATCAATTGAAAACAAAAGTACATTTTTATTCAGCAGTATAATACATACTACAGCTAAATTATTATTCTAATCTAACTAACTCATAATAAGCAGAAAAGTCTCTAAGTTTGACCTTGGAGATAATATTTCACTCTGCAGTATTTTTGGGTAAAGACTCTCCTAGTCCACTGCATTATTACCAGCAGATTGTCACTGCTGTATATCTGACCAAGTCACTGGAATACAGGAAACTACAAAAGGATGGGTTGAAAAAAGGAAAGGGGGATATCTAAAAATGTCTAAACAAACAATAAGAAAATGAAAGAGTAAAATTTGAAAAAAATATTTCTAGCTTCCTCCAAAGACCTGCTTCTTAAGATCTCTTTTCAATAAGAAATGCCCAATTGAAATATTTTTTTTTCTAACTGTCTAAGGAACTTATCCATTCTTGATTTTGATTTCTTTTCTGTGTACCATCCGAGAAGACTTATTACCTAGTGAAAACCTTTACTTCTAGGACACACTTGATCCTAACTTTCTTTGGACAATAATTTTTTATCCATCTATAGTAGAGAAATAACTTATGATGGATTCCAGGTTCTTATGTGACCTAGTAAGGACTAGACCATGTTGTTTCAGGGTGATACCTTCCAATAGCCATATTTAATTAAAGAAATTTTACTAATATATATCTTCTATTATTCAAAAAACTAGATTTCCAATAATCCTTTTGTCTTGCAATAATGTGAGGGTCTCAAGAGTGATAAGGATTTTTATTGATTGTGATATTCTTTAACAACTTCTAGAGAAATATATTCTCAACTATAATCAAAGAGTTGGAGCTTAGCATGGACTAGAGATCATTTGGTCTTATTACCTAACCGGAATAAAAAGGAGACCTTGGTCTTGAACTTTTCCTGACCAGGATAATAGAAGAGAAAGATCTCAGCTTGAATAAATAGCAGCTTTTTTACCACCTGGGGACTTGTTGCTTGTATCTTATTGACCTCATGGTACTTGATCTGTAGGTTAACCCAATTGAAGAAGTGAAGCAGACACGGAGCACCAATCAACTCTTCTATTATCAATGATATCATCGGAACACGTAAGGTAGGGATCGCAATTTTTATCCAAAATTGAATGATCCGCGGATTTGATCTGAACGAATCAGATCGGATTTTAAATTTTTTGATCCGTTTATATTCGAATTAGATACGAATTTCAAATTTTGAAATCTAATCCGATTCGATCCGATCCGTTCGAATCAAATCTGCAGATTATTGGTTTTGAATAAAAATTACAATTCTAGCTTGAGATCATGGTGGAAAGGGCCTTTGACAAGAAATGCTGGTGATTCATTTTAAATTTTATTTTTTTTTGATATACTGTTTAATGTATTGTCAGAACGATATTTATTGTTTGAACTTTTTTTAAGATAAAAAAAAAATTTTAACGAAGCAAGCAACCTATATATTGCAGCACTTATATAATAATGCTGCTATAGTATCCAATATAATACTAATATAGATCAAGCAATGCAAGTTACTGTAATTGTTTGGATAGATAATGTCAACTTGCTCAATTCCTCCTCTCCTAAATTAAGTAAATGGTTGAGAACTAAAGCAGGGAAATATAGAGTTAGAATCCTTCACTAACATGGATATGCTATAGTTCCTAAAGGGAATAAAAGTAAAGATATCTCA